AAAAGCCTTGTTGCATTAATATTTTCAAACTCATTACAAGATTCAAATACAAAGTGTTACATAAAATTCCTAAGTTCCTAAAGTCTAAGCCAAAATCTAACTTCATGCTACCATTTTTCTTCATGCCATTATGTCTTGGAATCTCATTCCATACTCAATTTGCATTCAACCTTTGTTGTCCAATTTCCAACCCCTGCATAAATACCAAAAACGGTCAAATTGTGACCATTCCTTGCCCACAATTCTTGCAGCCATAAAACAAACATAACATTATAAAAAACCTGCATTGTTGCCCTGCTATCCTGCTACAAAAACCAACCCATACAACAGTCCAAAAACCTGCAATGTTGCTGCCCCAAAATCTTTCCAAAACTTGTCCAATAAATTGCACTAAATTAACAACACAAAAACTGCAACAAAAAGCAATGAAATAGTGCACTGGAATTATTCAAACTTATCTACTTTTCCCCTTCAAAACCTCATTTATTCTACTATAAGATTGATACAACAAGCAAAGTAAAAGGATCATCTACGGTAGAAAAACAAACCCAGAAAAATTTCACAGAGCAAAAAAAAACAAACAAAGAGAAATATACTCTTCAACCATTCCAAAACAAACCTCCTCTATTATTTCCACATACCATCACATCATCCCTTTTAATTTGCGTTTTTGAAACCACCACCTCATATTGTAACCTACCGCCTCCATCTTCATCGACCATCACCACCTCATAACAGAATCTATTCTCCTCCATCCAATCTCACATTAGCTTCAGACCTCACCAAGCTATTCTGCCTCTTCATCCTCACATCCAGCTACACAATAACTCTCACGCACCCTCTGACCAAACGCGTAAATTTAGCAAATCAAACTGAGAAGAAGATCATAGGTAAAGAAGTAAGGAATAAGAAGAGAGTTCGAAGCAATGTACCTGGGCATTTCCGGGAAACTCTCATCTCCTTCGGTAACGATTTTCTTTTTGCCATGTTTTCCAGTTATTGTGATTGTTGCTGTTACCGCATACCCGCTGTTGTTGTTCGAATTGAGGGAACATGGGAAGCACGTCGCGAGAGACAAAAAGAGCCTTTGTTTTTATTTTCCGCGAATACGAGATCGAGAGAGGGAGAGAGATGAAGTTTCTTTGGGTTGTTGTTCACTTGTAGAAACAAGAAGGGCAAGGTTCTGCTTATAAAAAAAATTGAAGATAATATTCTGTTTTTTTGTTTGTTTTATTGGAACAACAAAATTTAAATCTTCCTCTTCCCAATACATAGCAGCCGCGGCGCTGCTACACAATACCTCTGCGATTTTCTTTTTTCTTTTTTATCCCTTTACATAAACCGGTCTTGGACCTGACCCAGTTCGGCCCAACTGGGTTTATGTTTTTTTTTGTTTTTTAAAACTTATCTTACTAATCTACACATGGGCCTGTCATTATTATGTCTTGAGCCTATTAACTCAATTTGTTATTCTACCACCCATAATTTTGCTTGAACCCATTTCATAAGTAGTTAGCTTTATTTCTTTTTATATAATAATTTCAGCTTTATTATTTTTATTTAGTTAGGGTCTTCACTTAAATAATTATGCTTTTGGTTAATAGATAATTCTCATTAATTAGTTTAGCTTTTAAAATTAATTTAACAACTTTGTGGATTTTTTAATTTTGTTTTAGCTTAGTTAACTTTTTTTAGTTATTTTACTTGGTCGACAAAGAAAATAATAAATAAATACAAAAAATATATATTAGAATTAGATTTTTTTAATTTTTCTTTTAAGGTTAATATTTGTTTTGCTTGATAACTAAACAAAACATGTTAGAATTTAGTTTTATCCTTCTTTTAGATTTTACTTAAACAAATAAAATATTAAAATATTATAATATTAATTACTTTGCTAATTAATTTTATTTTATTTTATAGATTTTTTTAGTTTAATTAAATTATTCATTTTTAATTCGATTGGGTTGTATTGATTTAGACTTAATTGCATTGTCAATTCGATCTATCCCCATTTATAAATTTGTAGTCCCCATTCCCGAAAGTTCTGTAATAGCGTAGAATTTTAATTTTCACAATTTACTATTTTTCTTTATAATGTATAGTAATTAGGTGTGTATGATAAGACATAAAATCAAACGATAGATAACCATAAACTTCAAGACAATTTAATTGAAAACAAATCACTTTTCACACACGCAGCTTTAAGGTAACCTCGCTTGTTGCCTTCGAAAAAATACAGTTACGAATCTCGAACGTGAGAGATTTTAGCAATGACCCTTTGGTTTAAAGATCACAAGTCCCTCGATGACCCTTTCGATGTTGCCTCGGTATATGATCTTAAAACTTTAGGGTAATTGCTAAAGTATCTCACGAGTTGCTTTCATGACTATACGATGACCCGCGCTTGTCCATTCACATCCAATGATAAGGCTTCTTATCAAACAATAGTAAGATAGAAATATCTAAAGGATAAGGAAAAGAACTAATACTTTTTGAGTATGTAGAACGTTCATAGTTGCTTGCTCACAATCATTCTTCAAAACATCTTTCAAAATACACCAAACACTTTCAAACGAAATATTTTCAAAAAAAGTCAACACTTTGTATACATTCTTATAGAGACAAAAATCATTACAAAGTTCTCCTAAACGAAGGCACTTTTCAAAGATACTTTCAAAACCAATCACAAACATATTTCAAACAAAGCATTTTAAAGTGATCTAGCAACTAAGAGCCCATAAATAACTACAGACGAAAAGGGTGCTAACACCTTCCCTTTCCATAACCTATCCCCCGAACTCAGAAAAATTCTCAAAGGTCTTTCCTGTTCTTTTCACCCTTTCCTTTATTGGATAAAAGAAAAGTCAGTGGCGACTCTTGCTATCCGCAATAATTATGATAAAATGTAAAACAACCAAGTCAGTTCTCTCACTGTATTACAACTATCAATAGTTACTCTGGATGACATTTGTAAGCTTGTCTCCGACTATTCTCTGTCACCTCTCCAACTGAGATCTTTAAGCCCATTCCTGATATAATCAACTAGCAATGTTACTTCCTACACAGGCGAGTGCAAATTTTTGGGTATTTAAGTGTTCAATCATCTTCTACCTTCAAGTCATGAATGACGGACGTGTCAATCTAACTCTTCAGGTTTAAGAAGATTGAATAGGGGGCAGTTGTTATACCCTAAAATTTACCCTCCCATTTTTCTTCAAGACATTCTCAAGAGATCCTCACTTGCTCAAGGTGGCTCAAGAATTGATCAGACAAATTCTCCTCCTAAGCAATGGGTCCACAAATAGGGTTTGGTATTTCCCAAGGAAGATTGGATTTTCAAATTCTCAAGTGATTTTCATGGTTCTCCATAGGTCTTCAAGATTTTTCATGTCAAGTTTCAAGTCTTGCATCACAAGTTTGCTCAATCAATGACTCAGATGACTAAAAATCAACTATATTGAGTAAAAAGTCAACTATGGTCAACATACAATCAAACCTCAATATTTTTGGTAAACATCAAGGTTTTAAAGTCATATTCATCATTTGATCAAGGGTTGATCACGATTCCTCAAGGAAAGCCCTCAAATCATCAAAAGTCAAAAGTTTCCAAATTAGGGTTTTCTTTAGGAGAAGTCAACTGAACTTTGATCAAACATAACTTTCACACGCTTCATCACATTTTCCCTAACCAAAGCCCATTTTGAAGGAAATTAAATTCTATACAACTTTGTATCTCTATGCTCAAGTCCAAAAAATACATCATTTGAGAGATATAAGCCAATACATTACATGTCATTTCAAAAGTCAACAAAAAGACACTTTTTATCAAGGAATGATAGGATTATGGGTGGTCAAAACTAAACAGGTCCAATAAAACTACAAATCAAATTAAATTAAATCGAAATTACAAAAAAAATTGTATTTGGTTCGGATTTATTTGGGCCATTTTATAACAAAACTGTGTGGTTCAGTTCGGTTTGCAGTTTGTATTTACAAACCGAACTAAACGACATATGTTACAACCCCAACTTCACTTAACCCACATCTAATCCAAACTCAAATCTATTATGCCTTAGCCTTAGTATTACAAATGATTTTCTCTTCTACTCATCTTATTTTTCATGTACATCTCGGATCTTCTTCTCTAATATCTCATATATGATATTTTTTCTTTTTCATCTTCTTATTTTTATTCTATTTCTCTCTCTTCCAATTACGTTTTTAATGCATATCTTGTTATCTGATCTCTGATCTCGTCTGCTTTTTTTTTTTCATCTTCTCTAATCTTTCATCTCCTCTATTTTTTGTTTCATTATAATATTTTTGATATTGTTTTATGCTACTATATTATGTTTTTTATTTTATTTTTCTCTAATCTTATTTTTTATATATTAAATAGAAAGTTATTATTCAAATATGATGAATTTTATTGTTATTTGATAATGTATAAATGACTAAATAAAAATATATGTTGTCATCTATATGTAAATGTATAGCAAAATATATATATTTTTTTAAAATCAAATCAACTCAAATCATTTTAATTTGATTTGAATTGGTGTGATTTTTTTCTAAAAAACAATCAAATCAAACTAAATCACGTATTTTTTCTCTTACGGTTCAAATAATTTTTTTCATTAAAACCGCGCAAACCATGCCATCTCAGCAGATAACATAGTAAGCCAAAGACTAGAAAACTAGAAACAAATATAATTGTTGAGTGTAGCAAGCAAGGCAAAACATACATAAACAAACACGAAATCGAATCAAATCAAAACTAACCCAAAAAAACAAACAAAGCATCCTTACCACAAAAACAAACCCAAAATGTAAAAGAAACAAAGAAATATTCAACTCAAGATTGATGTTCGTCCACTCCACTCAGTCACACCAACAACAATTCAAAGTTCCAATCTTTTCAACAATTTCCACAACCCCATCATCTTTATACCAAATCCAATCCAACTGTTTGGTTCTTTCAGCAGTTTTGAGCAGTAATGGATTTGGTAGGACCCACCATGAACCGGTTGGTCGGAGATTACATACTGGGTCCTCGAATCGGGTCGGGTTCATTTGCAGTGGTGTGGCGTTCCCGTCATAGAAATTCAGGTTTGGAGGTTGCCATCAAGGAGATTGATCAGGCACAATTGAGTCCCAAAGTTAGAGATAATCTCATCAAAGAGATTACTATTCTAAGAACTATTCATCACCCTAACATCATTCGACTTTTTGAAGCTATTGAGGTTATAAATTGTTTGTTTTTGTCTTTTGTTTTTGTTTCAAGTGATTGTGATGTTTTTTGTTTTTACTATGTTGTTATTGTTGTAGACCAATGATAGGATTTACCTTGTTTTGGAGTATTGTGGTGGAGGGGACCTTGCTGCTTACATACATCGCTATGGGAGAGTTTCGGAATCCATTGCGAAACATTTCATGAGGCAATTGGGTGAGTAACACTTAAGGAGTTTAATTTGATCAATTGTGTGACTAGGAATGTTGTTTCATCACATAGATTTGTCATTATTTGACATTCAAAGTCTAGTGTTGCTAGGGACTAAATTGACCAATCCAAAATAATTGTGCAAGTCGTCTTTAAGGGCGTGCAAGACGGGCTATCACATAGAGCCCAAAATTTGTCACAGTTAAGCCATGGCTAAATGGTTAAATAGGGGCTCTATTTGTTTTGTTAGGGTTAAACTGCGATTAATCTACCTAGGATCTTCAAAAACTTGAGACGGTCTTGCTAATGTGATCGAAAAGTTTCAGTTTTAGAGATCATTTTGTAAGTTTGGTTAATTCTAGGGATCAAGTTGTTCGAAACCTCCGATTATTTGGACTAAATTAGTGATTCACTCTAACACTACTATTTCAGGAATATATGATTTGAATGAAAGGAAGAGATGCTTTGGAATTTTGTAATTAGATTATTTCTGGAGCAGATATTTTCCAATTCGTTTGTATTTTGTGAATGGTTTAAGCTCTTCTGTGTGTTCAAACATGTAATCCTTCGCCACCCTCTTCCGTAGTCTGCATTGCCTATGTTAATTGGTTGACCATGTATGAATTTCCGTCGGTTTTTAATATGTCGGTTCTTCTTGTAGCTGCTGGGTTGCAAGTGCTTCAAGAAAAGAACCTCATACATAGAGATTTAAAACCACAGGTATCTGAGTGTATCCGTGTGTATTTTTGTTCGTGTCTGGATTTTATATAATAATTTGTTCGTGTCGGGATCTAAACATGCAGAACTTACTGTTGGAAACTACTTCAGCTACACCACTTATGAAAATCGGGGATTTTGGTTTTGCAAGGTAGGAAACTTTCTTTAATAGCTTTCTATTTACTATCTCCCTTTTAGTTTTATATTAAAAATTCTTAAATGATCTTTCATGTTTGCGATATATTATCGTACCAGGTCTCTCACACCGCTGCAGTTGGCAGATACACTATGTGGTTCACCTTATTACATGGCTCCCGAGATAATTCAGAGTCAGAAATACGATGCCAAGGTGACACACGATAGAAATAACGGGATCAAATTGTATTTACTGATATCTGTTGCTCGTGTTTTTGTTTGTATTATATGATTAAGGTAATTTTATGGATGCAGGCTGATTTATGGAGTGTTGGAGCAATATTGTATCAGCTAGTGGTCGGGAAACCGCCATTTGATGGAAATAGTCAATTGCAGGTTGTGAAGAGTCTAAGCAAGATATTTCTCTTCTTTTATCTAACTTTCTATTTAAAGATCGTAGCTTTTTTTTCGGATTTGGATATTCACGCCATAAGGACATCAGTGGTCGTTGGATCAGGATCAGACGGTATAGAAAACAAACAAAATTTGAATTTTTAAAACTCTAAAATACATTGCATTTGAACTGTCCAATTTTAATCCAACAGCCATCAATGTAGTGGCTGTTTCAATGCATGAGATTTGCAACTGAAAGTTATTATGCATCTTTCTTCTCTATATCGTTTTTTCTTTTGCAGCTTTTTCAAAATATTTTGGCATCTACTGAACTGCACTTTCCACCAAAGATTTTAAAAGAGCTGCATCTCGATTGTGTGGATCTTTGCAGAAGCCTTTTACGTCGAAATCCAGGTATTTATTGCAACTATATGATGCATGCATTTGTGTTTGTAAATTTTGCAAAAATCTTTTACGAATGTGAAAAGGTGATGAAGGGTTTGAGGTTGAAATATTATTATACATATGTTTAAATGACAGTTAGAGCTCAGGTAGAGAACTTCTGTAAAGTTGGACTTTAATTTGCAGATGAGAGATTAACATTCAAGGCATTCTTCAATCACAAATTCCTACATGATAAGAGGTCAAACTTTTCCGAGAAGATATTTTCTTAGCGAATTGTTTATTGTTTCCTAGTTGCATTTTATTTCGATGTCGAAGCTACTTTTAGTAAATCTCTTACAATTGATTGCTTATTATAGGTCCGTTGTGAATATTGAGCAGTTTCATTCACATCAATCAGAAAGCTCAATGGTTAATCAATTAGTTGACTCTGCGCTTGAGTTGTCTCAAGCACATTCCGAGTATCATGTTGAGAAAGGTTATGTCCTCGTTGATTCTCATTTTCCATTGTTTCCTAGGTGTCGTTTTTTCTCTTCGAATTCTAAAATGTCGTCTCTTATTCAGTTTCTCATTTAATGGAGTCCATTGAGAAAGGTTATGTCCTCATCAATCCTCATTTTGCATCATTGGAGGATTTCTCTGACTACTTTGAGGCATCCGCGCATGAAAATCCCTCGAGCGAGGTTTCTATCCGTGCTTCAAAGACGACTAACCTAGAAATCGAAAAGCAAACAATGAACTTTTCTTTAGGGCACCCTTCAAACAAGTTAAAGTTGTTGCATGAGTATGTGCAAGTCCTCGGAGAACTTTCACAAGAAAAGGTTAGTTTCCGTTGCTCATTAGCATTAACAATTTTACGTCGCTATCGCATGTTGTTACGTAGTTTAAATAGTTATTTCTTGCAGTATAATACAGGACTGTACCTAGAATCACTTGCAGTTGAGTTGGTGGTTTTGGCTATATGGAAGAAAGCTCTAGACATTTGTAGCACTTGGTTAGCCCCGATTTCTAAGAACGAGTTGCACGGAAGCAGTTCAGTTAATGAGTCTGTAATTGCCCGTGGAGACACGGGCTTATCACAAACTATCGATCATAAAATAAATTTCAACGACCGTCCTTCCGTCTCCTTATGGGTCAAACATGGATTTATCATCGCAGTCGATCGCGCTGAGAAACTATCATATCATATTCAAAACATGGATGGTAGGATTTCTATTCAAATCCAAGCTTAATCCTTTCGTATAATCTCTAAGTAAATCTTAACAATGCACTCGGATAACATTTTGCAGGTGCAGTTGAGATGCCAGATGCAATCGAGATTATATTCAGACAAGCACTCTTAGTCGGGACAAATGGTGCTGTAAGTAGACTAACAATTTTCACTATTCTTAAGGCTCGCGAGAGGTTATAAAACGACGTATAAGCTGTTTTAGAATGACTTATGAAAACAACGTAGGGCTTATATGAAAACAATATGATTATATTTAAGCGCATAATGAAGTTGGTTATCCAAACAAGGCCTAAGTTAATTATCATGTGTTTGAATTGGTTTCTTCCATTTTTCTAGGTAGATGAGTACATGAATAACAAAGATAAGTCTGCTGCAACTTACTCAAAAGCAATTCTTCTACTTTCATTCATTGTGGGAGAAGCAGAGAATCTTCCACTGAACCCTCCATTTTCACTTCTTTCTAACGATCATAAGCGAATCGAGCAATATATTCACAACTTGCAGTATCGCAAGATATCTGTATCAGACTCATCTGCAGAGGAAGCTCAATAGCTCATACTCTTTAGTCAAAGTAAATAAAAAAAAATAATCAGTTTGTATATATTTGCACCATAACTTTTGGAATTGGTGGAGCAGTTTGTTTATAGGTATATACCACTTACCATGACATTGTAGAGAGACTTTTTGCTGTTATATGATGATTTTATGTAAATAAAAGTTTTATGGTTGCTGTTTATTCTGATCAAGTTGTTATAATTAATTTTCTATATTTTAGGATTTTAGTTTTATACTGTGTAAGTATTGGATATGTTAATACTAATAGACTTAAGTTGGCGAGAACACATCCCTGAGACGATTGAGGCCGTGGCAAAGACCAAAGGAGGAAAGAATAGTAGTGACAATGTACTGACTTTGTTAGAGAGGATACAATTTTGTCACTTCCTTCACTGAGGGTTTTTATTGTTCAAAGACCCTAACCAAGGGAACCGTCAAGATCGCCGAGCTGATGACCGTCGACAAGAAAAAGAAAATGACTTCCGAGAAAAAGCCAAATATTTATCCTCGAATTTCAAAAATATCGAGAAGGTATGTGAGATCCAAAACAAGATTTTTCCTCTGGTTAAAACAACGACCATGGTCAATTTTGATGTTTCAAAAGTTTCTCTATGAACGAAGGACGTTTCTGTGATATCATGCATGAAAAACTCTTTGAAGATCTTGGAGTGAAGAAAAACGTTATCAATTTATACATGTTTCGACATAGAAGATATTATGGGATGGATTAGCCGGTGGAAATTTGATTTAGGAGCGTGGGGATCAGATGAGAGAGTCGTATTCGACTCTGTTTTTCTCAGGTAATTTTCGGGGATGAAAATCTTTTAAGTTAGGGAGAATTGTAACACTTAGAATTTAGAATTATTTATTTGATTAATTATTTGTGTGATGTATGATGATATGTGGTTGGACATTAGTGTGAGATAGACGATAATTAGAATTATTTAGATTTAAATAATTTAATTATATTATTTAGAATTATATTAATAATTAAAATAGGATATTAAGGTGAAAAGGAGAATAAGGGTGTGATGGTTATAATATGATGATAAGTCAGGGTATAACGGGAATAACATAGAAATGATCTAAGGGGTAACAAATAAAAAGAGAAAATAAGAGAGATAAGATTTATCATGTACGATCGTAGAACTTGGGAGAACCTGAAGAGAGACTAGAGCTTACAGATAACCAAGAGGAGAACTCTGTAGAATGCAAAGGAAGAAAATCAAATCGCTAAGAATTCGAGGTAAGGGGTGTACTCGAGTTTATTATGATTGATTATGGGGTTAAGGTAGACGTATTTTTTTGTTTCGTATGATGATTTTGATGAAAAGTATGATGAATATCATGATGTGTTGTGTAATGACCATGTTAATATGCCATGATTCGAATGTAATATGTGTATAATGACGTGTTGTTGTCAAATTGTGGAATACTGTGATTAAAATACATTTTTGGATGGATTGATACTCGAAATCGAAATTGGAATGAGGCTGTATAGCAGCAAAATCGCAAACGTCGTCGGGTGAGCTAGAGACGAGCAAGTGGCAAGCTAATTGCTCAAGCGTCGTCGGGCGAGCCAAGCGGCGAGAGGAATGGTTAGAAAGAGGGCTCTTGGAAAATGTATGGGGAGGAGATTGTCGCCAGAGCTTCGTCAGGCGAGCAAAGCAGTGATGGATTCAATCGCGAATTTTGTCGGGCGAGCGTCAGGCGAGGAGAAGGCGAGCAGAGCGCCCCTAGGGTCGTTAGGCGAGCAGACCTGGAAGTAACTTCAAAGTATCGTAACTTGAGTTTCAGGACTCTGTTTGACGCGCCGTTTGAAGCGTTTGAAAGCTAACACACAGAACTGTCTCATGGAACAATTTTATGAAGCATTTGGTGTATTATTCCTTTGTTTATATATTTATGTGTTTGGATTATTATATGTTGGTATACTATGATGTCTTGTTGAAGTGACATAACATGATGTATTCTAATGATGTTACCATGTTGTCGATATTTGATGATAGTATGATGATTGAAGTTTAATGATGTGCATGTTTAATATATATACACGTGTAGCGGTAGAAATATTGATACTAAGCCATTGGATTGGCTTGACTCGCACAGATCAAAATAAAAATCTCCACCGCACTTTATTGTTTCCAAAGAAATAGGAAAAGAGCGAATAATCCAAAAGAGGGGAGAAAGATTCTAGGTAAGGGATTGGTTATGCAAAGGGAAGGTATTAGCACCCTAAACATCTACGGTACTCCGCAGGAATCTCTTTGAAAAATCTGTATATTTTGGCTATAAAATATTGTATAAAAATAGATTATGGAGACGAGAAAAGAACTATTTTTTTTTTTTATGATTTTTGCACCCGCCGCGGTTGCGAACTTTTTGTGCCTACGTACCACCTTCTGTGCAATAGGAGATCAGGCTACCCGTAGTTCACCTTTAAAAAAATTTAAAACACAAGTGTGTTGATTAATTTTAAGAGATAAGACGTCATTGTCATTGTCCGAGTGGAAAACATATTTACTACCCACAATTATGAGAAAGGAGAATTTGTATCATCTCAAAGTGGAGGATATAACTTGGATTTTAAAATCAACAAAGCTTCACTCAACACCCAAGTGAAAAATATTTCACTTCACTATATATTGTAGAAGTATAGTTGTTTGCATCACTACAAGGATTGACAATAGTCTAATCTTTTGATAAAATTTTAAAGATAAAAGCCAAAATGGCAAAAATAGTTTAAATTAGATTTATTGACTTTTAGTTTTTCATAAAATGTCAAAGTATTATTAAATTGATTAAAGTTTGATTAAAATTTTTTTTTTGAAAATGCATGGACATAAGTCCAAGTTTATTATGAAAGTGGTTCAAGTTTTAAAATAAGAAGAGTTTTCAAAAGGAGGGAGGAGATTTTTGAAATTAAAGAAGATGGGAGGAGATGGAGGGACTATCCTAAAGCATGAGGTAAAAGCTAGGGAGAAGGACCATCTGACCAACAAGAAGCCAATACTTGACACAATGAGTCAATGTAGAATTCCATCCTTTGGATTTGAAACCAAGCAAGAAATTATGATAAACTTCTTAAGAATACCAAGCTTCAATTGCATTAAGTCTTCACAAAAATTGGGCAGAGTAACAGTTGTATACAAATGGATTTCAGATTACAGACAAAGTGTGTAATCACAATAACCTGCACACAAAGCAAGCAAACAACCCAATGTCTTGAGGTAAACCCCAAAAGCTCCAGAAAAAATAACAATTAAGGTCACAAGGTCCCCAACATAGGTCAAGGTCTCTACTGCTAAGTCCAAGAGGTCCATAACTCCAAAATGCCAAAGATAGTAACCAAGTAGTCCAAGTGACATTAAAGTTTTTTAGAGTTTAAGTTGATTATTAGGTATCTTCAAAAAGAAATGAAAATCTCAAGTGAGCAAAAATAAAAAATGTCATGAATATAAAGGCTCAAGTGAGCAAAGATGAAAATAGCATGAAATGTAAATGCTAAAGTAAATGGGATATAAAGTAAAAGCATAGCATAAAAGAAGGTCAATTGTTAAGAATCAGTAGTTAGTTGGATGACCATCTTGAAACATGCATTTGGAACTCATTAGATGATTGGTAGAATCAAAACCTCTCAACAATAAGTTGCATTTGCTTTTTGTCAAGTATATCATCCATTTAAGAATCCTCAAGATAACAACTAATAATCAATGATGTTTAAGTGATCCACTTTGACCAAAATTGATCAAGATTCATCAGAGGATTGGTAGAACCAAAGCCTCCTAACAATGAATCTCAAAGTTATTGGATCAAAGGGTTCAAATCAACATACTTGGGCTTGCAAACATAGGTTTGGGCCACGAATGATCATTTTCTCAAATCGGGACAAAATTTAGCGCTATGTTAAGTAATCGTAAGTGGACTTATATAGAAGTCACACCTATTTTGAGGCCGGTCAATAGCAATCTATGCACCTCATGTTTTGAGACATGATATATAAATCATGCTTAACAACATTTAGCACAATAAGACTGAGATAAGATGATGAGGGAAGGGGAAATGAATAAATTACATTTGAACCAAAAATTTAATCAAACTATTATTAAAATTATTCATCCATTTTTATGGAGTTAGACTCAACACCATGGATCCAATGATGTTAACAAAGTTCATGATCAAAATTTCATGGTCCAAGATCAGCCAGAATATATACATAAATAAAATTGTATTTAAAATAAAAGAAAAAAGGTTTTTAAAATGAAAAATAAAGAGAAAAATAGCAACTATATTCAAATTAATCAAGAAAAAATAAGTAAGACCATAAAAAATCAGAATTAAACTCAAATATTTATATGAAATTTTTGATAATTTTTTTAAGTCAGAAACTATTTTTAAACTAATTTAAATTTCTTAAATAAAAAAAAAGATCAAAAATAGTAAAAGTTAAGATAAAACTCCATAAAAAATTAAGAAGGTCAGAAACAATGGAAATGATTTTTATAAAAAATTTCAGAATTAAAAAATGTTAGAAAGTATTTTCTAAACTATTAAAATAAAGCAAATAAGGTAAAAATTATGAAAAATACCAAACATCAAAATAAAAATATGAAAAAATATTCATAAAGTCAGAAATAATTCAAAGTATTTTTTTATATTTTTTTCTCATAATTTTTGGGTAAACAAATAAAAGAGTTATGAATTTTTGAAATTTAAAACAATTAAAATATAAAATAAGAAAATAAAAATAAAACTAAAAAAATGTGGACCATCATATCATAGTCAAAACACGTTAGTAAGCTGATCAAGTGGATCAGACGCGCTGTGTTTGATATGGACCTTATTTCAAAATGCATTGGATCAGAAAAAGGGCAACCAGTGAAAACAAAACAATTGGCGCGCTATCATTGGTTGAGACGAGACATTTCATCGTCTTCAACCTCCAGACACCCTACAATGGAGATTTTATGAGTTTCTTCAAACGGAAAAATTAGAAT